GTTATCAATAAAAGAAGCAGCGAAGCTTTCTTTCACAGGGAAGGACATCACGAGTCATCTGCTTCACTGTTAACATCTGGGGCCCACAATAATGATTTACACAAAAAACTACAGCCCCAAGCAAGTGAAAAAATTGGCTTCTTTTTGTGGATCCTTCTACTTTTATTCTCACCAATGACCCATGAGATAGCAAATATATCCAAAATACATATAAAAAAAATTTCAACATCTTCGGAGTAAATATCAATCATAATCCTACATGAATCGTCGAGAGCATCTGGCCATCTAGTTAGGCACAACTTAAGACAATAAGGTATAGTAGGGCTAATAAAAGTAGTTTGAGAACAATCATACATTGGTTCCATGAACAATATTTAAGACACCATCAGGCAGACCAGCCTCCATTGCTAACTCTGCCAGAATTACAGAAGCCCCTGCTCAAAAGAAAATATAACAGATCCTTTTTTAAATCAAAGCATGGAGATTAAAGTGTATCCATGCACGCATGAACTGACCTAAAATAGATGTAAAAGAAAATTTAGAATGCACAACTACCATGCTGTAACCAGCGTACATGCAATGAAGAAAAAAAAAGTAACAAGTCAGACAATCAAGATGACATCCAAGGGGATCTATCAATATATGACTGATGATTTCCGTAGATCCTTGCATCTGATATATTTTAGCAAAGTTACCCTATTTATGCTATTTAAGCACAGTGCAGAAATTAAGCATTTCGAAATATCACCCTTCAAGGTTCCTGAAGATCAAAGTTCTTGTTATAAATTCAACAAGTTCAAACAGAAACAACATCTACAGTATCAAAAAAAAACTATAACGACCTATCATCAAATATATTAATATGAAATATAGATTGATACATGATAACACAAACATCAGGGTGAAAATTAAATTTTTTAATGAATTTTTTCTTGCTTCTATGGTTTTATGAAACAAAAACTTGAGGGAGGTAATGCTCCAGGACTAGATACACTGAGTTCTAAGTAAATCATAATCACCTGGATCTTTTTCTGATGGCTTTAAGACAAAGGTATTCCCACAAGTAACTGCAAGTGGGAACATCTGCAATAAAATCAGTAAAGGATTAGAAACCATTGATGTTTTCTTTTTCTTTATTTTAAGGAATGGAAAGTCAATGAAGTACTACCATTTAAGAAATAAATTTTAAAATAAAATTTTAAAAAAACCCTGGTGTTTGTGTGCTTGTGAGAAGCAACTATAAAGACAGAGATAGAAGGATTCATTGCTCGATCAGATGCATTATTACAGTTTCAGCATGCTTAAGCATTTAGATGATTGGTGAATATACAATGTTTAAATAAAATTTTAACAAGAAACCAAAAAGAGGTGAGAAAGATAGTAAGGATAAATCATGTATATGAAAAGGAAAGGAAAAACTGATGGTCATTTCAATTCAATCATGTCACAGGGGAAGAAGATAGTAAGCTCACCCATAAGGGAATCATTGCCGGAAAGTTGAACGGACAAATACCAGCACAAACACCAAGCGGCTCTCTAATACTGTATGTGTCAATTCCATTTGATACGTTAGAAACATACTCCCCCATTTGCAGAGTTGCCGTACCACAAGCATGCTCCACCACCTCTGAATAAGAAACCAATAAATTCTCAGAGCTTCAACATCACCTACTGAACTCCGTAATTACCCTGCAGAGAATCTTATTGACAACAAAGTACAATCACTGACCTAGCCCACGAAACACATCTCCATGTGCATCCTTCAATGTCTTTCCCTGTTCAGTGGTAATATTCAAGGCAAGCTTATCCTGAAAACAGAATAAAGAGATTTGTATTACTCAACCAACTGTATCCTTATTTAAACGTACAGAGAAAGCCTATTTCAAAGTTCAAACCCAGCGCACTTACAATATCTCTCCGAATAAGCTCTTGGAGCTTGAACATGACACGTTGACGGGCCGTAACTGGTGTGTGGCGCCATGATTGAAAAGCCTGCTTTGCTGCAGACACTGCAGCTTTAAACTCTTCATTTGTGGTCAAAGGAACTTGTGAAACAACTTCTTGTGTTGCCTATGACCAAGTTTTAAATACAAGATAACAACCATGAATTCTGTAAAGTTAACAACAAGAGAGAAAAGAAAAGAAGAACTGAAGCATATTATGCACTTACAGGGTTGATAACATCAATGGACGCAGATGATTGTGATTTAACAAAACTACCTCCGATTAGATTGGGAACGCTCTGATACAACAAAACCAATTAAAATTATATTAAATGAGAATTCTCCAATCTCAACTTTCGTCCACTTGAAATTGGTAGTTAAATCAAAAGTTGAACCCCTGAAAAGAAAATAAATAAAATCCCAACAGCTGCTTCCATTTCATTTCTCTTCATCTTTTCGTTTTTAGACTATTTTCTCAACAGCCAAACAAATCATGATAACCGAAGTCTACTCAGTAACAGTAACCATGAACCCACTTGAATACAAACAAATCATGTACTCGTCAAAATAAAAATACATAGTCAAAACTACAAGCTACATGTGTGCGAATGATACATCATTTTCCCGAGAAAGAGTTCATTCTTCCTAGGAAACAAACAGAAGCTAAGCCAGTCTAAGATTGATTACCGGAGGGCTACCCTGCTTGGAAGACGGCTCGGCAGCTGTGGAGAAGTGAGAGCTTCTGAGAGCAAAGATCGCAGGCCTCAAAGCCTTCAAATTTCTCACTGCAACACAACAATATTAATACGTTGCAATCAAATTTCAAATCTTTTTTTATCAAAATCATCTTTGTTTTAACTTGTGTACCTCTTTGAATTGAAAGCTGCAACATTTTTTCTTTTTCCCTGTTTTTTCGTTTCGCTCAATTTGATGGAAAGAGTCACTGACTTGGAAGCTTTTATCAGTTGGCGAGAAACAGCCACCCTTGATGACTGAGTAACTGCAGTGTATCAATCTCTTCGTATGTTATCCGACGGCTAAGATTTTTGCTGACCCACCTGGGCCCACCTGTCGATTGGAGGGACTTTCTGATTAAAAATTTAATTGCTGACTATGAAGCACGATATATATGCATACACCAAATTTTCATGTTAATCCGCCGAGGAGAGTGTTTTCTTTTATATTTTTTTAGATTACGTACATTTCATACCCTTGAGGTGTGGCCATATCAAATTGGATTACGAAGTTTCAATTTCACGAAGAATGAAAGGAGAACATAGAATCTTTGCAGGAATAGATGTATTTTCCCACTTGGGTTACAAATCTTTGCAATATTTAAAACTTTTAACAGTTTTATATACTAACTATTGAAAGTTTGAATGAAATCAATGACATTTATTTTACATTGGTAGAAAGAAAAAAGAGTGAAATCTTTATAAATGTGGAAGTCTCACACCTAGGGCCAGTTTGGCATTGTTGTACTGTGAAAATAATCACCGTCAGATTTGCTGTAAGAGAAATCAACTGTGAGATAAACTAGTTTGGCGTTTGGTAAACTTTTTGTTAAAAATGTTGTTGGCATTGATTCCCTTAGAGGAGGAATGTATACAGCTTTGGGGAGATCATGCTGGGAATTTTAAGCAACGGCAGGTTGATGAATTCAGGAGCAAGCATATAGAGTAAGTCAAGAGAAGTTGTTATGAGAGAAATTTACAATGAGAATGAAGTTGGTACGAAAGTTCCGATGCGAGAGGAGATAAAACTGATACTTGAGTTGCTACACTTTGCACTAGGAGTAGGCCATCTGATCGGCCATCAGTGGAGAATACATTGAAGCTTTTATCAGAGTGGAAAAGAAACAAGAAAAATTACCCCACTATTGAAGTTGCAGCAATAGGATTATGATTTTAGATGCACACTGGAATGCCAGAAGTGATAATAATATTACTGTTCCAAAAAAAAAAAAAAAAAAAAACAAACAAACCAAATCCGAAATTTAATATTTTCTAGAGAAAGAGAACAGCTTTACCAAAACATTAGGTATTTTAAAAAAGCAAAAAACAAAAAAACAAAAGCAATCAACAAAAGGAAGAAAATAAGCTTTTATCAGAGTGGAAAAGAAACAAGAAAAATTACCCAACTATTGAAGTTGCAGCAATAGGATTATGATTTTAGATGCACACTGGAATGCCAGAAGTGATAATAATATTACTGTTCCTAGCAAAAAAAAACACAAACAAACCCAAATCCGAAATTTAATATTTTCTAGAGAAAGAGAACAGCTTTACCAAAACATTAGGTATTTTAAAAAAACAAAAGCAATCAACAAAAGGAAGAAAATAAGATCATTACAGTCCAACAATTAACAAGTCTTTCCATTAGCTCCCACGTAGATTTTAAAAAGACATGTTCTTCAATGTTCTACGTTTCTAGCAATACGATGTAGAAGAGTTTGTATTTTTCTAAAACTTAATATGAAGAGTGGTGTGGTGTATTTTGTGTGTGTATAGATGTATTAGAGTTAAGTATTAAGTTGGATGACATTTTTTGTCTTTTTACACAATAATAAAACTTACAGCTTAATGATTTAAGTATTTAGGTGAACAAAGAGAAGTGTGGGGTTTAAATAGAAAATCTCTATAAAATTTACCAACCGCATTATTATATGGATACAGGAAAAGAAAAAAATCATGTTAGTGAATGTCATCTAATTCTACAAAAACATTTGTGAAACATTATTTCAGGATCATGATTCATGACATAGGAGCCATTGTCATGTTACGAACCAAACAAAGGAGATAAGAAACCAACAACCATGATTGAAAACGAGACTGCTGTTGAACCTTGTCCTTATTGATCCACTCTTTAACTCTAACATTTTTTTTTTTTAGTAAACTCTAAAATATAATTTAATTATAAAGACATCTATGTACAGATAGACATTCATCAATAAGACATTCTGGCTTGCTAATAATAAGATCCCATATGGACTAAAATATGAGTCCCAAATTAATGTCCAACATCCTCTATGAAATCGGCCTTAACAGGGCAGCTCCGTCACTCCGGTAAATCCTTCCATTGTTGAGTCACAGTCTTGATCTGGGTGTAAAATTGAAGTCCAGCTTTGCCTGAGGTTCAAAAATCTTTAGCTTGAATTTCAGAGAGTTTTTAGAACTTCCCTATCTAATTTACTCAACATAATTGCCTCTAGTAAGTAAGGGCGTATAATTTACCATCAAAACTAAGATCACCAGCAAAAGATGGCCTGGAGCTAGTAAACAAGGAAAAGGGATATGGAACTGATATAGGAACATTTATGCCGACCTGACCAAATCCAGTTCAAATCAAATCAAATCAAATTAAATAGAAGTTACATTCAATCAAATGTACCACGGCCAATAATTAATATCAACTTTCATTACCTGGCCAACTTCAATCTCAGTCTGGAATTTTCTTGCAGCCACACCAGATGTCGTAAAAATAGAAGCTCCATTGCCATATCTATGAGACAAGGAGATATAAGTTTTAAAGGTTCTGGTACCACTATGGAAATCAAGAGAGTTTCTCTGTTTGGAAATACTTATTTTTGTTGACGATGTTTATAGCCTCTTCGATGCTGTCAGCCTGGCAATCAGAAAGATTAAAATTTTAATCCATTCTGACATGACTACACAACCAATTTGTCAATTAAGGAACATGAGCTACGAATATCAACCTGCATACAAAGAAGAACCGGGCCAAAAATTTCCTCCTGCACAACATAACGTGTTAATTTTGGACTAGGAGATCAAGACTAATTGAAAGTTCAAGTCTTCAACTGAAAAATCAGTAGGTATCTTCTGTTTTTTTTTTTAAACAAATAATACGAAGACACCTTATAACACTCCATGTCAGCGGTAACATCAGATAAGATGGTGGGACCAATGAAGTTTCCACGCTCATACCCTGGAACCTATTTTTTTACAAATCAATAATTCAAAATTAGAACAGCTAGAGACCCTAAAACACATTGCAAACAACCAATTCTTAACCATAATAGAAAATCAGCAATGTAAATGCACATGCAAAAACAAAAATAGAAAAGAAAGAAAGAAATGTTCATATATTTAACCACTGATATTTTGCAAAACTAGAGACAAAATTAGTGATATAGCATTGACCAAAAGAGCAACACCCATGGCAAGAAATAATATAAAACTGAATTCAAGTTATATTAAAAAATGGTATAACCAACCCTTAAATCGAAACCCCCACCCCAAAGTTTGGTTGTGCCACAATTCTTCAATGCATACTAAAACTACTTTACATTCTGTTAAGAAAAAATGAATTCGTATTTCAGATAAAATATCCATGTGGCCATGTATGACAAAGTGGATTCGTCAGATTTGATTTTCTATAACATATAGCATTTATATTTACCATTATACGTAGGTGGAATGTTATACAACCATCCACAAACACAATATACCATCTTATCCAAAGTTCTATGGGAATCAGGTGGAATCAGCCTTTCAAGCGGCGATCATGTATGACATACTCTTTTTCATCTGTCTTTATTCTTTTCCTAGGTGAGATCGATACTTTTTAGTGACTGGTTATAAAAATATTATACATTTTTTTAATTGATTACTGTGCTTGAATAATGATCAGTGGCTCTTTTCAATTATTTTATACTATTTAATTATTTTTAAAAAAAATCAATTCTAGAAGGTTTAAGCCTTATCTCACCAATAATAGACTGCCTCACATTACTCTTTCTTGGAGCACTGAGCACAACAAAATTGCACTAAACATGGTGTAATATAAGAGAGAATAAAAAAACCTTACCACAATGTTTCTACCATCAAGCACCAGTTTTGCACCACTTTCAACAGCTGTCTGAATCAATCTGCAAATCTGTTCCTTCGCCTGTAAATAATGAAGAATACAGGCAATTAGGAACTGATAATGAGCCAGACGCAACACTACAAGCATCCGATCTTTCCAAAAAAATCTCAATCATGCTGCAAAGAAATGACTCCAAATTTGTTTCACTTATATAGTACAACACGTATATAAGGTATGAATTATGTAAAGTAATCTGTGAAAGGTATGAATCATCTAAACCTGCTTGCTAATCACTGGACCAAGGTCTACATCTGGTTCTGTTCCAGCATTAACCTTAAGTGCTTTGGCACGCTCCACTAGTTTATCTTCCCTGGAAAGGTCATAACAATAACAAAACCCTCTTTACCGAATTATTTGATATTTATCAACCAAATTAATTCTGACATGCTACTCACACATGCACAGAGACATTATGCACAATAAACAGACACATATTTCTTATACATTAATTCAACAAAGTCGCATACCTAAGAAACTCAAATATAAACTTTCTTTATTTTAAATTTTGATTTGCGCACCTTCAGAAGAGTATCAATAGGAATTTGACATGCATAACAAATTAGATCCACTATTATTTTCATGTTTATTCTTTTCTTTTTGTTCTCCGGATACTTCCACCCTAAGTATGGGCATTGGGAGATCCCATCACAGTTGAAAACTGGCCTAGTTCTACCACCACAAACCTATGTTTAGTAGCCCCTGAGGTTAAGGAAATTAAACTCTTAGAGGTCAACCATATACAGTACTTTCAAACTAGATTTTGGTCATGCACACTAATCTCAGACTAAATTTATTAATGAGATATGGAATATCATCAAAATTGGGTTGCATAAAGAATAGTTAGTCCATTTGGCGTTACAAAATCAATTAAGTATACACAAATTACAATGAGGCATAACTCCTTTTTTCAACCAAGTAGTAGAGTTGAACTATGTTATTTTTAGAAATTTACACAGCAAATATTTATATAAAAACAAATGTATATCAGAAATGGGATTCAACAAATGCAATTAAAAAAAACAAAAAGAGTACTGAAGTTGGCTTCCAACAGACTATTCAGTAATGCTGTTACTAGGAAATACACTAAATTGACACAAATTAAATGCAGGCAGTCTCGTTTACATTAATAAGGAGTAACTGCAGCTCAGTAATACAAAACATAATTCCTTTTTTGGGAAATGAAATACTAGTGATAAATACTGCATATTGAGCACATCCAATTCTAAATGGATTGTAGGAAACACAACTAACTTTCTGAAATAGTTTTCTAAATTCAAGATTGTTTCCAATAAACACTGAAACGAATTCACAAATTTCAGTAAAAGAGAATAGTTTCATCACTTATTAAAGGCAAGTAATGAATAAGACACGAACTCTCTTTTCAAAAAAATTAATAAAAATAATAAGACATGCACCTCCTTCATATGATCAATCATACACTGCTTAATAGAATCATAACATCTCTAAAAAAGCAAAAACGATGACAATATTGAAGCAACATCCACACACTACCAGAATCCTGATCCAGATAAGTTTCTTCTACAGTCTTGCTGATTTTATCATTTCATGGGCATGCAAACACCTTGAATCTACAGTACAGGTTAAAAAAGTATAGTAGGTATTTGCGTGTTCTAAGTATGGGTTCCATCTGACTACCATATGTCAGAAACCCTATAAAACCATATTAGTCTATCTTTCTATTCTTCCCTCTGTATCCAAAGTGCACATAGAGTTGAAATAACTCATTCTCAGCATTGCTATGTCTACAGTTTTTAACCTTCAATAGATATAACTCAAAAATACCAGGATTAAGGAAGTCTAAACATTGAATAAGGGGCAAAAATGCAATACCATAGACTTATGCCTCCAACAAAAACAACTGTACTGAGTGCCATACACTTTTGTCCTGCAGCACCAAAACCAGCAGCAACTAGAGCATTCAAAGTAGCATCCATGCTTGCGTCAGGCAGAACAACTGCACGATTTTTGGCCCCAACATTGGACTGAAGACAATAGTCAACCAGCCAATTTACATTGACTTCAACTACTGCATTGGTAAAAGTGCAACCACATTGCTCATAGTACGAATATTAGGTTTGTTACGAAGGAAATGCTTGAAATTACCTGAATGCGTTTCCCTGTAGCCAATGCTCGTGAATATATGTAAGCACCAGCCTTTCAAAATTTTGAAGAGGAAATGATGAAACATGAAAAGTAAGCCCAAGTGAAAATGCAATAAAAAGAGAAAATAAGACACGAGAATTTTGAGATCACAAAGCTAAAAAACCGTATGTTTCTACTATAATGTGTATAGCATCAAAATACTATTCCGAACAGGAAACAAAGAAAACAAAGAGTAACTAAAGCTGATATATACAAAACAGAGAATGAAACATTACAGTCAAATGAATTATCATGTCAAAATCAAATATTCCTATAGGGGTTGCTAGATGTCAAGTTAGGATACATAATCAAAAAGAACCTGCATGAAGGTGTACTGTGCATGGTACGTAATCTAAAGGACTTGCTTAAGATAAGTTTCTGGAATTTCACTAAACCTAAGGGTGTGCAACTTACTAACTCAAATTTTAGTACAAAATTTGAGAATTATTTCATCTATGATATTAAATATTATTTTATTCTATCATTAACTCATGGTCGAACGAATGATCCCTGACATGAAATCATTCTTCCAGGATGATGAACGATCCATGTTTTTGAAACATTGATCCATAGTGAAATAAAGCTCCTTATAGTACATCTCTATAAATTATTGGCTTTGACCTTAAAAGTTGGACACATATTACAATTCGAGCTTACCTTCATGTGGCTACACATCCACCATGTTTAGCTACATCACCTCACTACAATTAAAAGGTCATTATTTTCTACCACTAGATCAAATGCAAACTTATAAACCAAATAGGAGAAGGCAAAAAGGACATATAAATCACAGATGTTTAACACTTGTAATACTTTTCATATAAACATAAGAAAACTGCAACTCGTAACAGTAGTTCAATTGAGGAATAACTTACTGCATTCGGTCCAACAAATGAGATAGCTTTAATATCATCATCATCAGAAATTGCATTGAGAATATCCTGCTCCGAATCAAAGTTTAAATAATGTCAAATTTTACAGCGGAATAAGGACACATTAATTGCTAAGGAATGTTGAATCATTAAAACAGAATAAGTCCAACTCCAGTTAAAAGTTAAAACTTCTGGATTAAGACAAGAAGAAAAGTGAATATAACGCAAATGACATAGACCAAACAGAAGTGGATTTGTTTGTCTGACATTCAATTGAAAAAAAAACTACATGATTTACTAAATAGTTACAGCATCAAACATGTGGTGCAATTTCAAATGGTTTAATGGACTCAACAAAAGCTGATAAATAATTGTTAAAAGCTTACATCAGTGCCATGGACAATATTTAGCACACCATTAGGTAAACCAGCCTCAGTTGCTAATTCTGCAAGCATCACAGAAGCCCCTGAAAAACACAACAGAATACGTCACTTCTTTTTAAGCACAAACATATGCACCTGTAGTGAACCAATAAGTAGTTGTCAAAAAGTCCTAGTGTTTAAAGGGAGAGAAAGGCATTAGAAGCAACCCATAATCCCAATTGTTTTAATTTGCAATACTTTACTTAAAGTGAATAGAACAAAAAGAAGAAAAAATGAGGGAAAAAATATAAACAAATTGAGGGAGATATGAGGAGGAAGAATACCAAAGGCCCCAACCTCCAATGATCACCAACATGCAATAATCATCTACAGTATAGACCAAAGAAAGACAATCCCTTGAGGGAAAAAAAATACACCCACATTAGACAATTAGGAGATACAAGAAGAAGCCAACCGTTGTCCTTTCCAAACTACCAACTAAGACTGATCAGTCCAAGCAGATTAACCGATCTGACCAGAATAACTGAGAACCAGTAGGTTGGCCAGTTTTTATCATATCAGAATTGGTCAAAAATAATGAACCGGTTGGTTCAACAATGGACTGATAAACCTGATCATGGTAGCGGCCAGTTCATATGAGGTGTGTGTCTTTATGTTCAGTTGAACTTGAACCAGCCAATACATATAAAGTAAGCATCATTACGCAACAAAAAGCGTTGTTATGTATCCTGGATACTAACATAGAGGATAAGTCATGGAGTTAAATAAAAATACATATGTATATATACTGAAAGGATACAAATTTTAATGATCGTCTCAAAAAAGTGCAAAACTGCGGATATGGAGTCCACATCAAAACTACAAAACAATTCTACAGACAAAATTAAATCACAACCAGACCAAAGCTAAACAACATGAAGGTATATTATATATAAAATATGTGCATATATATAATGTATTCACAAGCTCTCCCATGTCATTGGGGTTTTAGGTTAATTCTTGAATTGGCTTCCACTTGGAATTTCACTATGGGATGTAAATTGGCTGAAGAGTACTGATATAAGAATAATTACCCACATGAGTTTTGAATATGTACAGTAGGTTTTTAGGAAAAATCCATGTCCCTATTATCTCTAGTTTGAAAATTGCAACAAAATCCCTACCAATATCATTTAAAACCCCCAAAAAAATACAAATTACAAATTAAGAAAGAAAAAAGAGTTAAATTTAATGCATTATAATTCTAAGGAGCAAAAGCTGTAAAATTCAAATCACATTACTAGGATGGTTTTGGCAATCACCTGGATCCTTCTCTGATGGCTTTAGAATAAATGTATTGCCACATGTGACTGCAATAGGGAACATCTGCATATAAAAGGTGCATGAACTTAAAGAAAATACTTTTTAAAATTAAATCAAACTTTTCTCTTTCTTTTATTTTTGCAACAAAAAGTCTTCCTTGCACTATGTAAGATCCTAACCTTTGCACGAACACGATTAAAAAACAAAACTTAACAATAACAATTAGTTTAATGGAAAATTGGAAATAGCTAAAATAAGTTTCCAACTTATCACAGCAGGAACTGTTTGAGTGCATTTGCCCACACAGGTTTTTTGTTCAACATCTATGCATCATGCATCTGTGCTCTGTGTTCTGCAAGCTCATAATTGTTGCACCATAATGTGTAAGCTTTTTAATTTGTGCACATTTGCATTCCTTCTAGTCTTGTGTTTAAATACAAGTAGCCAACACTGTAGATCAAAAGTAAGGGAATATATATCCCAAAACAAAGGGTATGGCGTACCCCACAACATCAAATGGGGACTGAACTGAGAGCATAAAAAGACTTTATAAAATTAATTGCGGGCTGAATCAATGGGAGGTTTGACATGATGGCATCAAGCAAATCATGAAGTTAAAAGAAGTGTATTGAGTACCAGAGATCCAACTAAAGCATGCACGCAGTAGAATAAGAGAATTCTATAGAAAACGCAGCCATATTTTTACTCAATCTGTTGTGTAATCACCGTCATGACAACAATTAGTTGTCTCATTTAAAAGATAATGAGAAAAATCAGCACCATTACTAATCACCTAATTAAGCATGTCTCTAGATCAAAACGATAGCCCAAAACTAACCAGAAAAGAAAAAACAAATTAAAGTTTAGCAAGCTTACCCATAAGGGAATCATGGCTGGAAAGTCAAAAGGGCAAATCCCAGCACAAACACCGAGTGGCTCTCTAATGCTATAGCTATCAACTCCATTGGTTACATTGGAAACAAATTCCCCCATCTGCAGCGTTGCCAGTCCACAAGCATGTTCCACCACCTCTGCAAAAGGATATTAAAAAACTTACAGGAGGTTACCAGGACCAAGTAAGGGTTTTATAATTCAAACCACTGACCTAGCCCGCGTAACACATCACCGTATGCATCCTTCAATGCTTTTCCATGTTCACTTGTAATGCACATAGCAAGCTTATCCTAGGACAAAAATTGTTATAGCTCCCATTAATAGAAACTTTATTTAACCTAAATATTTCAACTTAAATTATGTAATCATAACATAAATTTTACAATGTCTCTCCGAATTAGCTCTTGGAACTTAAACATAATGCGCTGACGAGTAGTAATAGGAGTATTTCGCCACAATGGAAAAGCACGTTTTGCTGAAAACACTGCAGCTTTGAACTCCTCATTTGTTGTTAAAGGAACTTGTGAAACAACTTCCTGCGTTGCCTGCCAAATAAAAGACATAGTTACCAAAAAGTTAACTTCACATAGACAAAATGAAAAGGAAGTGTTTGTGTTTTCGCACTTACAGGGTTTAGAACATCGATGGAGGTAAATGACTGTGAATCAACAAATCTGCCTCCTATGAGATTGGGAACTCTCTGTTTTACAACAAAGAAATTTCATGTGGAATCATATAGCACCCATTGACAATATATATTTATACTGAGAGAGAGAGAGAGAGAGAGAGAGAGAGAGAATAACGCCAATAATTCCTTATGCATGTATCACCATGTATCAGTCTCATAAGTAGTTGGGATAATAGGACTTTGAAACGAAAAGTTAACTATGTTGAGTGGCCCTGTATTGAATAACATCTAGCTTACCTGGGGGTTGCACTGCCTCCAAGATGGTTCCGTAACCACAGAGTAATTGTTTCTTACAAAAGATTTCTGCGTGCTCAAAGACTTGAAGTTTCTAACTGAAACACAACACGCAATCACCCACAATAAGGAAACCGAATCATTTCTTTTTGTTGAAAAGAAATTTTAAGAAAGGGAGAAGAGGGGATCATATTTATCAATCATCCAAATCAACCAAATCAGCTCAATACATAACGAAAAGTCAATGAAAATTCCTACAGATTAGCCCTGAAAATATCTAAATCTGCTCAATCAAATCAACTAATTTAGATCATCAGTAGCCCTAAATTAGCTAAACCATATCAGCAAGTTAGCTCAATCATCTCTAAACATAAGACTGTTTATAGCCTACATCGACACTCCCCTTCAAGCTGGACAATAGTTCTTGGCTGAGTATATAGAAGCGCCAAAATTCTGAATAAATCTTGGCTAGTCATACCAAAACTACCAAACAACTAAATCACATGCAACCCATATGATATCAACAACAAACTCATGAACCTACAACCCAAAGAGATATGCTAGATCTGATTGTAAACTATGAAGGACATCGTGGCTGATGGTTCACTAATAATAATTAGGCGGTTATTCTTTTATTTTTCCTTTTACCTTTGAGAGAGTGAGAGCAGATTAAAACTTAGCAGTCAATTAAAGACTCTTTATATACTTCCTCAAATAAAGGTCTCTACCTGCCACATTTCCTTGTCGAAGCTTTGCTTTAACATTATAAACATGCTTCGGAGTTGATAAAAGATCCGGATTGCTTTGTCTTAATCTCTTTAGAATTTGGCGAGGTTTTAATCCAGATTCTGTCATCTCTTTAATTAGTAAAACTTCTCTCTCAGAGAAACGACGAGCAGAGGGATGTTCTGAAATGTCCTTCAAGGGTTCATGGTTGTGTGTTCCATTTTTTATGGTAAGTACCCACAAGCCATCATCCTTTTTACCTACAGCCTCAAAAGGACAATTTGTCAGCCGAGAACCTGTTTTTTTCCTGCGGCTATGTTCACTGGAGGACTCATCAATATGTTTCTGCCTGTTACGATAAACACCTCCTCTGTCACAGCCAAGGATAACTACTCTATCCCTCTTAGACTGCTTGATAGTTACAACATATCCCTGTGATACAGCAAAGTCCCCAACATGTTGAATGAGTTCGTCACGATCCACAAAAGTTCCAGGTGGAGGTGGAAGCATCTGTGGTGGATCATCTAACTCTGTGCATATCTGAAGGTCCATCTTCAATAACTGGAAGACAAAACCTGCATCGAAACATCCTTATCATCATCACTCATGTATCATATTATCCCCAAATCCAATGTTTCTTGCTTCTTTTTTCCCTATAAGAAACAAAATTTTATTACTATCAAAATTCAGTGTCCCATATCCAGTGTAAAAGTTGAATTCAGTGACTCATACTCATGCATTGCGATATGGCTCCTTCATAAAAAACAGAGAGGCTTTCTTTTTAAAAGTAAATTCGGATTTTGGATTTCCATACTGACTATCCATGCCTCTCTAATGTCAGATTGTCATAAAAGTAATGTGAGATGCATAACTACAGAAAAAGTAAAAGGATATTCACCTCATACAATTGCCTGAATATTCTCCTCAAACATTTCATTTCCTGCAAGAAAAAAGCAAAAAAGAAAGAAAGAAAGAAAGAACACAGCGTCAAATAACTCAGGTTCTACTTTTCAATCAGCTAATTCCCATACTGTTCTTTTTTCTTTTTTCTTTTTCTTTTTTCTTTTTTCTTTTTTTTTTTAATAGAAACATTTTTATTCAAAATTTGAAAGGATAAAAAAGGAGGACATTTAGAACACAGACAAAAAAGGTATTAATCGAATCTACTTCAACCAATTATAAAGGTTGATCTAATGTAATAAACAAAGGAAGCTATATTAGCTCTCGCGCTTCAATCACAATTTACCATTTAGAAATTATGTTCTTTTAGGGGAAACTGAAAAGTAAATTATTGATACAGAAGTATATTTACATTGAAGGTGAACAAGGAGTCCACATAAACAAAAACAACCAAATAAAATCAACTAAGAACTCAATATCTGGAGCACATCCTGAATTTTAGTTATATGTATAGAAACATCTTGCTCTTTTATTTAAGGGTAGGAGTGACTTTATTAAGCCAGCCAAAAAAGTACAAATGAAAGTTGAAACATCCATCAGTAGGCTGTCAACTGATGAATGTTCCATTTTTACGTTTATGTGGAGAAGAAGCGCACAAATTTACAGGGACAACATAACCAAAAAAAAATCATCTAAAGCCCCTACTAATGTGATTGGCCTTCCTACTAAGAAATCTTTCTTCTTTCTTTTCACCAGAGATTTCAGGTTTTAAGCTTCCACCTTTCTGCATATAATCACTGCTAATACTAACAACACATCTGAATTTTGTAAGATTTACTTGATTTAATCTCAAATTAGAACATCAATTCTTTTTTATCAATGAGGGAGGGGGAAATTGAAGCTGGGAGCTCTTCCAACATTGTGAAGAGAAAACTCACTAGACCAAGAACTAGTTGTTAGAACATCAATTTTATGATATCAAATAATTTACTTGCAGCTTATATTACTCAACATTTAAATTTTTATCACTTAATATTTACAGGACAATTTCTATTTGCAGGTTCCTAGTTATGCATTTCAATTGTCAAACTGATCTATTGTACCAACAATGTATTTAGCCACACCTTATACCAGATGTGGCACACACTAAAAGCTTCAACAGCCCTGGGCAGAGTACCTTCAAATTTTATTTTATTTTAATAGAAACGAAATTTATTGAAAGAAATGAAAAGGAACACACAAGTGGATAAGGCATCCACAAGCCAAATGAACAACAACAGAAAAAACAGACTAAAAAAACAAGGGAAATTTGCATAAATACCACATGAACTTTTAAATTTGTTAAAACATACATAATTATGTTATTAAACAAATTACTTAAAAAAATAAAAAACCTAAACCTTCGCTAATCCCTTCGAACTCCAATGCCAGCACTCCCTTCCCCCCCCCCCCCCCCACCCCCCCCCCCCCCCCCCCCCCCCCAAAAACCCTCTGCAATGTCTTCGTACACCCTACTTCATCTCTCTCTCTCTCTCTCTCTCTCTCTCTCTCTCTCTCCATCAAAGAAGAATATTTATTCTTCTATAGCCATATTGCAATTACTCTCAATTCTTGTCGAAGGTTCATATGCCAAACAGCATATCTGTCTTTTGATTACTCAATTCTTCAACAACCTACACCAAATTTTGTTGGATTCGGGGGAGGGAAACAGTGGGAGAGGTAGAGAGAGGTATAAAGTAGGGTCTGTGCAGAGGGGAGGGAGCTACTGGGTAGTGGTGGAGAATTGGTATTGGTGTTGGAAGATGCATGAATAAAAAATATATATTTATAATTCTATTACTTTTAGAAATTCTAAATTTTTTAGTTATAAAAGAAATTGACCGAAATGCCATTAAACTTAACAGAAAGTTTAACGGAGTTAGACGTAGGTGGTACATTGCAACACTATATAAACTGCAGGTGATTAATAGTAGAAATTAAAAGTTCAGGTGGTAATTTCGCACATGCCTAAAAGTTCAGGTGTTATTTATGCAAATTTCCGAAAAAAAACAAAGACACCAGCCAAACTACACAAAGACTGCTACACCACAAAGACCCAAAGATAAAAAGATGCAAAAAAACACTTCACATCACAGCAGCAGCCATATCCCTCAGTATAGTGGAGGAAGAATAGTCTTCGAAATCTGAAGTGACAGAAGCCCATAGAGCTGCCCAGAATTTAACTCTATCCCATAATTCACCAACACCCGCTCCCTCGTACTCATCAAAAATCCTCCTGTTATGCTCCAGCCAAATGTTCCAAAATACAGACTGCACCAAGCAACCCCATAAGGTTGAAGCACCCTTTCCCCTGCCCGAAATGACAAAATGGGAACAGAGAAGATCAAAACAACCTTTTGGAATAACCCAAACAGTCTTAACCTCCCTCAACAAGGTCCACCAAAGACTTAAAGAAAAGGGGCAATGTAAAAAAAGGTGATCCACGTTTTCCACACTCATTTTGCATAGAACACACCAGTGTTGAGACAAATACATGTACAGTCTTCGTCTTTGGACAAGATCAGATGTGTTTACTTTCCCAAGGGCCACCAACCAGACGAGAACCTTAGGAGGAGATTTGGCCTTCCAAATTAGAGAAAAAGGAAGAAAGCCTTCCGCCATCCCATTGTTGAGAAGAAAAGAACAAAAAGATTTGCATGAAAAAGACCCTGAACCCTCGAGCTCCCACCATCTCCTATCCAATCTAATTCCGTCAAGGATGTCCGGCATCTTGATCACCTCAGCTAACTCCCTCTCATTCATATTCCTCCAAAAGCCGAAGTCCCAATTATACGGGAACACCTGAATGTCAATGAAACGAGAAATGCATAAAAAGTGCTTCGAAGACAGCGCAAACAATCTGGGAAAAAGATCCTTCAAAACCCCCTCCCTCGCCCAATTGTCCTCCCAAAATCTCACCCTATCCCCATTTCCACCTCAAACCTACAACACTGTAAAAATGAGTGGTAACCAGATGAAATATCCTTCCAAGGATTACAAAAGGAGCCCGTGGTAGCAGGATTGGCATCCCACCCATTCCTAGCAACCCCGTATTTACTAATAATCACACCAAATGCCACAAGGAATTGGATTCCAATGGAAAACGCCACAACCATTCAGCATGCAAAACTTCATTCTTTTCCTTCAGAGAACCCACTCCAAGTCCGCCTTCACTCTTAAATTTGGCCACCAAATCCCATCTAACCAAATGGTCCTTAGCAACCCCGTACCTTCAATTAGGAGAAGACTAGAGTGCTCTTGTTCACACAGTGGAAGGCATAAAAAAGAATTCTTATTCACACCTTCAACTGGCTAGTTTTTCCCACATGTCGATATGGTTTTCTTAAATTTCAGCTTTGTAGCATTTCATACTTTCCATAATGTACATCAAATATTCTAGATAAATTACAACAGTTATGATGAAAATGTTGCAATATATTTTGATCTCCACAGCATGCGCTTTTTCCATGGATACACATTTTGCACTTAGGACCTCAGACAACTTGAAACTTTACTCCTTTGCAAGACACCGGAAATTTAGAACACCCAAAACTATAGTGAACACAGGCATTTATCAATTCATCTTTCACAAATTTTGTTATATTTTCCAACCTGCAAACAATTCTATGGATTACTGTAAACTGAACTAGAAGAATATCCATAATCAAACAAGAATTACTTCCTTCTTTCAAGAAAAGGAACGCATAAACGATGCCTTTTGTACACCCAAATTAAAGTCAAATGCATCAAACCCTTATAGAATACTTATCAAGAACAAAAAGAAAATCAAAAGGCTTGAAGATATAAAAAAATCAAATAAAAGAGTTGCTTATAGTGTGCAAGAAGAATTAAATTTCAACCAACTTAAGTCGACTGTTATTAAAAAATCAAATAACACTCAACTTAACAATTTACTTTCCCTGTTTTTCTGAGTTTCTTGGGAACCGAACAGAAGATAGAGCTACAGAGAAGGAAAAGAGGCTCACCGGCGACAGAGGCCGGCTGGCGAATAGACGGCGGCGAACGTCCGGCGAAGCTTATGGCGTTTGGTTCAACCCGTTTGCGTATAAAATGAACTCAACCCGTTTGCAAAATGAGGTTTCTGTAAACGAGGCTTCTGCTTGGCGCGGTGAAAATGAGACGTTCGTGAAGGCCTTTTTGGCCAAAAATATTTGGTGTAAAAATAATTAAACGGAAATTCTAGATCAACCATAAAAATTGCTCACTAGACCCTACAAAAAGAATTTATCTTCTATATTTTCAATTAGCTCCTGAAAGCAATTTTAAAAAAATTATTAGCATTAATATTTCAATTTCATCAATTTGAGATCCAACGATTCTAAATCTAATCAATACACGTTCTTCGATTGATAAGTTAAAAGCTGATGTGGTAATCATAATAGTGCGTTTTCATGGATGCTTGTATAATCTGTGGATGTGATTCTTTTTTTTTGGACATGAGATTGATCTTATTTCATGTAAGAATAAATCTTGGCCAAAATATGTTTGTCTCGGTAGTTTTCACAAAATTCTACATTCGTTCCTGTATTTTCAATTGCATTGAATGTGGTCCTCTAGTTTGCAAATTGTTCTAATCCAACGGACATCCCTCAACTCCCTTTAATTTTTTGTACAAAACCGTTATATGTGTAGCACCCGAGAGGGTAAAATTGATAGATTTTGTACAAGAAATTAATGGAAAATACAGCAATCAAAGTGGAATTTTACGAAAACTACACGGATTAAAAATGTACTTTAATTTTTTATTGAAATTATTTACAAAAAGGGATATTAAAAAAATGGGGAGTGGGTATAGTGGCACTATATTGAAGAACAAGGCATTCACCACTAGAAAAATGATTAATGCACAATTAAACCTAAAATTTACCGAAAGACACTTTCATACAAAACTACTAGGGGTGTACATATTTTATCAATCCAATTCAATCTAATATTTTATTGGTTTTGAGATTTTACAATCCGATCCAATGTGTTCGGATCCCAGGATCCAATCCAATCTAATTTAATGTACATTGGATTAAATATGATCAGTTTGAATGAAAATATGATAATCACAAAGATAATCATATAGAATTCTAGAAGATACCATGAAGTATGTACTAAATAGACATAAATAAATTTTAGAAAACAACACTACAACACGAAATTCTACACAAAAAATAAGAAATCTAGACAAAAATATGCATAAATAAAGTTTAGAAAATACCATGTTATAGACATAAATAAATTTTAGAGTTCAACTTACATCCATTCCTTAAAAAAAAGAAACGCTAAAGTCAACACAAAAAGTTAGAAATCTAGAATGTTTATGCTATATTAATATATTTTTTCAAAAGAATATCAACGAAATTGTGTTGGTGCGTTGGTGTGAGTGGAACGTGAAAGGTGGTTTAGATTCAAACACTAGGAAAGGTAAATATTTGCATATTAGGGAAAAAAAATTAGATTGGATTGGATAGAAACCAATAAAATTGGATTGAATTGGATAAAATTGGTCGATTTTAGTGGATCGGTTTGGATCCTGTACAGCCCTAAAAACTACTAAATCAGAGACACCCCATCCCCCTCAACAAAAAAAATAAAAATAAAAAATCCACTAATATATTAAGACCTTGTCTGTGGTCCCGTTTTATACATTGGGACAACAATTCTAGCTAAATCATAGAATGATGATTAATATTCGACATTCTTAAACATATATTCACTCATTACATCATTAGAACTGGGTGTGACCATAGGATCTTAATACTAATTACCATATAATTATCAACACAAATCAATATAAAAAAAAGAGTGCATTGTGTAGCACTTAACATAATTTACAGGATTACATGGATATGCTCTGCAATTTCTTATCTCATACTCAAATCTCCAAATGAAGAGAGAAGCTTAAGCTATATAAATGCAAAATCCAATATGTGCTTCATAAAAATAAAAAGGAAAATTATTTGTACTACATTTACGAACCACATCGTAGATCATATTTATTCACTAGCTTAACATATATTCACATCGAGCGCATCATCCCGGTTGTCCATGACTTCCAAGTAACAAGTTAGTCCTCTTTTTATTAAAGATTCGAATCTACAATGTGGTTCTGTGGTCTCTCCCATGAATCGACGTCAGACATGTCATCCATGCCATCGCTCGCGCTTGGATCGCCATCTTCGGGTTGACGCCTTTCATCAACCTCAGCGTATTGTGGCAGCTTTTGTTTGCACAGCGTCAGTTGCTCTTGCAATAGACTCCTCTCGGATTCGTGCTTCATTATAATCCACTGTAACGATTGAATCACTTCTTCATCATACCGCTGCTTCTGTTCAGCCATCCGACGGTACTGATTGGCTTGGATTTCAATACAGCTTTTCTCATTCTGAAGACGCAAGATCATGGCCATTGTTTCCTCAGCTGCAGATGCAGCTGCCATCCTTTCCTTCTCGAGCTCGGCACGAGCCTCGTTCGTCTTTCGCCGTTCGATCTTTACTGATTTTCTCAATGCCAGAAAATCAAATTCTCCATCCTCGTTGCAACAAATACTTTCCTCCTCATTACCATCACCATCATCATCATCTTCAGCAGCAGCAGCAGCATCATCATCAACATCATCAGCTTCATCTTCTGCAGCAGCTTTACCCTTAATTTTTTTGCTGAAGGCCAAGCCATCTGCATTCAGTGGTTGTGAATTCTCCAACGATTTTGGAGCATAAACTTCATCAAAACCACGTTTTGAACAAAACCCATTTCTCACTTCGCTTGCTTTCCCTCTAAAATCACATAAAAATTCTATCAAACACTTGGCATGACAGCCAATTTGCAAAACCTTTAACCCCAACACAAACACCAAGAACAGCCCCAACAGATTGAAAACTGGTGAGAAACGGCCAAACATAAAAAACCCACATCCAAAATCACTCCCCTGACTCAAAACCTTAATACATGAAGCACACTCCATGCCCAAAATCCCCAAGAAAATCTGCAAAACCATCTCAAAAACAGAGCAAAACACAACCAACAAGCAAAACTGACCCAAAATCTGCATCTGCTTCTCCCAACTCACCCAACTCCAATCCAACCTTGATATTTATACTCATACATTCATTTTAAGCAAGAAATCTCGGACCTTTATGAAATTCAGAGAGAATTTATACAAAACCCAACTGGATTTTACCTTTTCTTTGCTTCTTTGCTTATAAAAACGATTAAATTGAAAGTCAATAAAATAACTTTCCAAATAAGAGTAAGCCTTACCACTCGAGAGAGCCAGAAAGTTTAGAGGCACTAAACAGTGAAGAGCTGAGTTGGGGATATTGGAAATCGAAAACAAACGGCGTAGAAAACGAAGAGGGGGACTCGTTAAGGCAAAAATAGAGATGATGAGGCCAATGTGGATGTTGTGGGTTTGTCTATTTTTTTGGTGCCATTTATATAAAATTTCGGTCACAAATGTCGCAATTATAACAATTATAGCAGTAGATTCGGTAAAGTCATGAGAGAAGAGAGAGATGTCAGCAGAGCACCCACTCCCTCCTATTGCAGAGAGGACCGTTGGCACGTTACGAATTTTGTGGCATTTCTGTAAATGATGACAAGTCCAGGGACGTTTGTGTTAGATAGAGTGTCAGCAAATGGCCGCCTAACGGCTGTCTGTCTCAACCTAGAGAAGTATAATCTAACGTACACTAACCAACCACAAGGGTTTTAGCACTTATTTTGGAATTTAATTTTGAGATCATGATATGATGTGTCTCACTCTTACGTGTGTGTATGGTATGGATAATTTTTTTTTTTGTGACCGGTCTTGAGATTTTGAGAGTTATGTGTGAAACATAAACAACGACCCTCAATCTAATATGAAAATATTTTACAAAAATAAATTTCCATGACTTGACACCATAAAACAATTTTTTTAATAACTAAAATTCATCATCTAATATGCATGCAATAGCAATCATAAATAACATTCATAAAAGTTTTAATGTTTCAATTTGAGAAAATGGAAGAGGAAGAAGACATTAACTTTTTTTGTTTCGTTTTGAGTGGGTAAAAACGTACTCTCCAAATTTTTTGTTTGATTGGAAAAAGCTCGTATATATTGCTTTCCTCTTCTTTGACATGTTTGCTTCTTTCCTTTTTTTTTCTTTTTTTCTGTTGTTAACAATAAAAAAGAGAGTAGAAATGTAAAAATATAACTTTTGAATGACACAATATGGACTCGTACCCAACTTGTCTACTAAAATCAAAGGGATGAATTCCAACTCAACTAAATACACACTTGTGTTACTTTCCTGCACACTCAAGTATATATATAATACCTATAATATTAGTATACATAATATACACGTAAAAAAATTTCGGGGCCCTCAAAAATTGGGGACCATGTGCAGTGGCACCACTTGCACACCTTTAGAGCCTCCCGCCGTGCATATTTATACTAACGTGAAGTCATATATGTAGATGATGTAATATGGTTCCTTATTTTTGGCTCATCATTCTTTGAATTGTGATGAGACGATTGCATAACACTCGTGTACAATTTCATGATTCTTAATGTTTGGAGATTGAGCAGAAGGAAAAGAAAAAAAAAACAGACCCCACCCTGATCACCTAAAATTTCCAGAAAATTATAAATATAAGGAAATATTTCATCATTCACATAATTTTTCTAAAGAAAACGGGATAATGGATTTAGATTAGGAAATATACAGGGTTTGATTCCTTCAAGTATAACCAAAGAAAGAGTAGAAAACAGAAGAATTCTACTTATATTAATTAAAATACTGTGATGACTATTTCTTTCTTATGCCGCAAGAAAAAAAGAAAAATACTACGATCGACTATCTCTTTTCTAAAATAGATACCATGACTAATATGACAATGTCTTATTTGTGTATATATCTTATTTATTTCTAGCAAATACGATATTGTTGTAATATTTATGTAATAATATGTCTTATTTATTAATTTCAAGTTTTGGTAATTTTAGTACTATTAATCTTATTCCTCTTGCCATGACTTACGTTACATATAATAATTTCTTTTTCTTTTGCTTTTTATTAATGCTCAGATGTTATGTAGTTGTTTGTGATTTAAAATGAAAGCTAGTATTTCTTGTTAATTTTGGTTTCTGCAAGTTTGTTCCCATGCACTAGTGTTTTCGTGTTTGGTTTTTTGCTAGTGTACACCTTTTAATCTTATCATACGACAAGCCAATGTACAGCTTTTTTCTTGGTTTTTTGTGTGTGGAAGAATACTTTATCCAAAACAAAATAAGCACTATAGTCCACAGATTTTAGTTAAGCAACAGATCTTGGGTTCCACTCCCATAACTTGAACCTTTTGCTCCTAAAGCAAGAGTTCTCGGGTTCCAGTCCTCGTAAAGTAAATAGTTGAATCTCTTGAAGAAGGTCGATGTTCAAGTTGTTAAGAGCATTCACTTTTTACTGAGATTATGTCTTCGATTTCTCACTTTTCCTAAAATATTATTTACCATTAAACTGTGTTATATGTCATTACACCCAAGTTTGTGGGCATGTTTTGCTTCGTTGAAGATAAAATAACAATTAAAGCAAAGGAGAAAACTATTGGTTGTGAACTCACCACAAGAAAAGCAAGAGGTTTTTTCCCTTCGTGTGTAGCTGGCGATGAGCAAGAAAAAGCGAAGTGGAACTTCACTTCCTGCCAATTGAAAGTCTCAAAGTTATCTCTTTGGTTATTAACCTTGGAAAGTTACTGCAAAAAGACAACAAGGGGATTTGTTTCTTTTGATTCCACATCACTTGCAAAGAAAAATCCCAGAGTCACCCAATTGACAAGTTCTGTTGCTGTTTTGCTGCTTATGCAAAAAAAGAAGCCTGTTATGTTCATTTTTTAGTTCCAATAAAATAAAAAAAAATAAAAAAAATTAAAAAAAAAAAAAAAAAAAAAAAAAAAAAAAAAAAAAAAAAAAAAAGAACTAAAGAAAGGCAACCACATGAAGGACAAAACAAGAGAAAGAATTATCTCTAATTGGAAGCAAAGATCAAGCAAAGTCTGTGGTCTTATAAAGACTGTGGTGCGAATGTATCTATTTACAAAAAAAAAGACACATGCGTGGTCTAATCCTATTCGGAAAAGGGTTGCTTGCTGGTGCTTCTTGTCTTCAAATCCAACAGTGGAGAAGGATTTTTATCCTTGGGTGTCTTGATCAAATTAAAAGACACTTGTTAATGGCACCAAGCTGTGAGGGGACTAGCTGGAGCAAAGCAATGCCATAATCATTTTTCCTTCACGGTTTCATCATCCAAAATAGCAAGTTCAAGCTGTGGGGATTGTTATGTTTCACAGCGCTATTAAATGACTTGGAATTTTCCGGATTCCTCTTAGATTAGCGGGACAATTGAATTGTGCAGTATGAAATGAAGAATGAGAGCACGAGGAATTCTTTCTCAGTATGCAAAATCAGGCCTTTGGTTTACTATGTTTGCTGAATGTAAATAGAAGAAGAAAAAAAAAGAAGCCTTTGGAGATGCCAAATGGGAGCCTCGAGAAGCGGTTGTACTCTCAAAATTCTTTGAATATCTTACAGAGGTTGAACATAATGATAGATGTTGCATCTGCACCGGAATACCTACACCATGGTTATTCAATACCTATTGTGCACTGTGATATGAAGCCAAGCAATATATCACCAACTTCGCTGGTGAGCCATCATGGGAAATGACAAGTTATTAGCACATTTGTCTTCCTCTGCCAAAAGGGTAACATGGCATTGTTTAGAGCTTCTCATCAAGCTCTGTGTTCCCATATGAAAATATATATATATGCCACTCATTTAATTTCAAGAGAAGCCACATTATTTTGTTTTGGGAAAATGATGGAGTTTAGATAGGCACTAGTCATGGCCACTCTCACACTTTCTCCAGCATTCAATCTAAAGACAATAATTTATTTGTGGTGACGGAGGGTCCATGCTTTCCTTACCCAAATGGAAATGGCCTTCCCAGTGTCTCACATATCACTAAACCCACCTCGAAAAAGTAAGAAGGAAGTGGTTTTTTAATATTATGAAATGATGTCTAAGTTAACATATTTAATATTTAATATTTAACATTCAATATTTAACATATTCATTCACCAAAATAAGTGATGTCTAAGTTACAAATTCAAAGATTCAACATATTTAATATCCAAATCCTAATCAACATATTCAATATCCAAATCCTAATCAACCCAATAACAAAGCTCAGTCAATTTTTATGATGCATACATGGAAATTTATGCTAAAACAGTCAATAAAAGAAACCATATACAAGAAACAGCTTTTAATTATGAAATGAATCAAAAATTATATTTTAGTACTATTCGGTACGGTACGGTATTGACCGGTACCGAATATCTCCCTATACCAAATGAAATGGTATGAAATCGGTATTGTACAATACGTTAGGGTACAGTTTTAGTATTTCGGTTTAAGATGCCCACCCCTAACGCTTTCTGTTTCTTTATGATGGAATCAAAAGGTGTTCCCTTGAAGTAAGGGATTGTAATTAAGAGACACTGCGTCTCGAATGGGTCGAACCTAAAATAATAAAACTTCATTATTTAATTAGTTATGGTAAAATTATATTGGGAGATTCACTTTTTTTTTCTTCAACACCATTAAACTGTGTTATATGTCATTACTGTTATATTGTTAGCTGAAGATGTATTCTATTTGCATATTATGTTTTTTTATAAATAAAATAAAATTGTATAATACAACAATAGTCTAATAAGATAACGTGTTAATAAGAATGACGAAAGGCTTGCACAATTGGACTTTGATCGATTGACAGCAGGCCGAAAGGACAGACCCACCACGCCTGTCATTCCGTAAATCCCCACCCTTTTGAAAGCTTTTAACATCTGTCAGATTGTCATATGAATTAGAGGGCAACAAATTCAGTGCCAAGCAGAGGGAAATTCTTTTTATGTTGGATCTCCATCCTAAGAACCATATGAATATGATATACAAATAAATAACAAAGTTTCAATTTTTTATTTATTTTTAATATAGCAAGTGGAATAAATTTATCAACAAATGTTTTTTGTTATTGGAAAATGGTGCTAGCTGCCTGGAATCTGTACGTAAATACCAATCAAAATGAGCTTTACCTAGAAAGATTTTGTTGGCTTTGACCTATTAAAGGAAGGATTGACTCACCCCTAACGAGGAGACATTAAGTATATGTGTTATGTTAATCCAATTGGTATAATTGGTAAGATCTTGTTGGAATCCACCAGGCTGGTGATAGAAGTCCCAAGGAAATGAATAATGAAGGGATCTAATCCAATTTTCATTCGTTATTTATACTAACATTTTCATCTATTTATATAGAATTTTTTTTTATGTCAAGGATGTCCTTTAAAAAAAATCCTCTATAGGGCTACCCCATAAATGCAGTCAAACGATTGGAACTGTTTAAATTTTTTTGTCTTCATTCTAAGATCATCCCTGCAAATTCTATTTAAACAAAAAACTATTTGGTTATCCAAAACGTGAAAAAAAACTTACAACCCAGAATTTTAATGTCATTATTTTTCTTAAAAAATGACATTTTACTAGAGAAAACCTTTATAATGTCACACTGATTATATATTTAGCAGAAAAACTTTATAAAAATATATATATATATATATATATCACAAACTTTATTTTATGGACTGAAATACATTTCATAGAAAAGCCCAAGAAGCTAGGAGCCCTACATAGTAAAACTTAAAGCCCCGTAGAACAACTAAAAAACTGATTATTTTTTTAGGGGGAAAAAAAACTTCCAGTGCAAGGTGTTGTATAAATTCAGGTCAAATTAATCATTGCAAAGACATAATTTGTTGTTTTCAAATGCTCCGAGCTTTTTAAAAATATACATTTTGGTCAACTAAAAATGCTTAGAACTTGGAGGTCACGTTTCATGGAAAAAAAAAAGAGCGAAGGGAACTTGGAGGTTACATCTTCTAGTCTTTATTCTTAGGACCTCACTTGTAACCTCTAAGCTGAGAACTCAAACCTCTCTCTCTCTCTCTCTCTCATATACACACACAGAGAAACTTCATGATGGCTGAAAAGGTGAGTGAGAAGAAGAAGAAGAAGAAGAAGCATGTTTCAAGTAACAAAGAAGGCAGATTGACCAAGTCATGGCCAGATCTTCCACCACAGATTGTCAACTTAATCCAAAAGGACTCGACTATAATGCAACACATGAGTTTTCAAGGTGTGTCCAAGTCATGGAGGTCAGCACCAAGGCAATGCAATCCCAACCCTTCACCGCATCCATGGTTAGCAATCTCCCAATCCAACGGTTATCATGACAAAAATCATGACCAGTATCATTTCAACAATATTCCAAACCCAACAATTCCATGCCTCAAAATCCCAAGAGCCATCTTAACCCCAGACTTCTACACTCATTTCCTCCAAAATTGGCAAACCACACCCTTCACAAATCACTTCTTCTGGGACCCAAGGAAGCAACATCAGAATATATCACACCACCTTGTGGGGTCCACAAATGGGTTACTCATTGCCAAAGCATCTCACAATCCTCTTCAGTATTGTGTGTGGGACCCAATTAATAGCCTCAAGTTGGACCTACCACAGTGGGATGCCAATGTTCCATTTAAATGTGCAGCCTTGTCCTCAGCAGAGGAAGATAAATGCCATGGTAAATCTCTCGCAGTAATGGTCTTAACTGGTATGAGACATCCAGCTTTCTTGTTTTACAAGATAAAAGGAGGCAGTGAATATGCTTGGGTAAAACAAGATTGCACAATTACTGACCCTCAACACCATTGGGATAAGTCAGAACGACGCCGTTACATGCAGTTCACCAATGCCATTGGGTTTGAAGGTAAGTTTTATGCCTTGAGTTTGCAGGGGACACTTGCAGTCATAGAAGTTACTAACCCTTACCCTAAAATTACTGCTGTTAGTACAACAAGGGCAGTACCATCAATTTCTTCGAGGCATTTCCGAGAGTACTTGGTCGAAACAGGTGGTGAGATCCTACTGGTGTTTCTCATTTCTAATAAAAGTTCAACTGATGTTGTGGACAGTGTGGAGGTTTTCAGGCTTCATCTTGGTAAACTCTCATGGGTCAAAATTGAGAGCCTTGGAAATAGAGCATTGGTTGTTGGGGTGAATTGTTGTATGGTAGTCTCTGCAAGCAAGATTGGATTTAGGAGTGATTGTCTATATTTCACACATTTCTCCAGCAATGACTGGTTGGTGTATGATATGAAAAGGGGACAAATCTCTCCATGTGACCATGATATGTGTTGAACCAACAAAGTCAATAGAACAAAAGAATTAATGATGATAATTCACATCTACATTTCTTGTACTCATCATGGGAAGAACCGTATTTTAAAAAGCATATGTATTAATAATTTGGGGAAATAAATATTTTTCTGCATATTTAGTTTGTATTTAAATTGATTATATATATACCCTATAAATATTGGTTCTGTAATTCATTGTCTCTTTTCTTTACGATGATGGGTTCTGTTTGTTTCTAAATTGCACTTCCTATTGTAATTTTTTTCTCTGAGTGCTCATGACCCAATCTCTTTTTTTTTAATAACTCTTTTTTATTTTTTTTTTTTAATAAATAAGTAATAAAATATAATATAATAATTTTTTAAATTAAATAAAAAAAAAAAAAAAAAAAAAAAAAAAAAAAAAAAAAAAAATGTTGTCCAGTGTGGCCTTGTACCAAACAATGGACTGGACTTAATTCCAATCCAGTCTAGTGCTCTACCAAACAACTCAATAAGACTTGAAGTCTAGCCCAATCCAAGCCAGTCTAGTCTAACACTTCAAGCCCAATCCTAACTAATCCAGTCCAGCCTACCAAACAGTATCTTGGGGTGCATGTTCTTCATGTGCTCGTAGGGTGCCAAGGCAAAGTTATTCCCTAACCACTCATCAAATTGGTCACGCCCAACAAAGTAATTCACTCATAAAACTGGTCACATCCAGCAAAGTTATTCTCTCAAACACTCATAAAACTTGTCATGCCCAATGTCACTAATCTCTAATTAGAAAAGGACAATTGTGGCTAAGCCATATTATGGAACAATAAATAGAATATTGGCCGCATGCTCCATGTTGGTTGGGAGGAATTAATGAACAGTAAATACTAATACAAGCCTCTTGGCCATGGATCTTGTGTCTATTTATTTAGCAACTACATGTCAATTAGAGCGGCGATCTTAGAATTGCTAACTGTGGACTATGTGTTTTTTGTCACATATGTATATAATAATTGTCGCTACTAGACCCATGTAACGGACATTGCTTCTGCGCACTATGGCTAGGAATGGCTTTTGTTCATTTTTAGTGCTGCACTATGTATAACGGACACTATGGCTAGGAGGAGCAATAAGTTGGATTAAGATGATCCATACGAGAGTCCTTGGTCTTCATTTGCCCAAACCCATCCTTGGTCCTCCATTCACACTCTATGTATGCACCACAACTATCCTTGGTGGAAAGAGGACCAGTCAGTTGGTGGAAAGGTAATTAACTGGGATGTAAACCATACATCTTAATGATGATGGCAAAAATTGCACTAATTTTTTTGTAAATAAAAAAAATTGCACTATAATTTGTTGTATATCATTGGCTTCTCTGCCTAGACTTATTTATTTCACTCATACGAACAACAATAAACTATATAGTTAAGGGAGAGGAGAGGCTACCCTATCTCAAAACTAGGGCATGCCAAGGTTTCTTTGAAGACTTCCAGAGGAGACGTCTTAGCCCCTTTCTTCGTTTCTACACAAATTCTTTTTCTATTTATAGAAAAAAAATAGTTATTTCTCAAGTGAAAATGGCATACCATCTTGTGCCAGATTTTAAAATAATGGGAGACTTTCGGTGATTCCACATTCCAAATCCAAATCACATCTCAGACCAAAATAAATAAATAAATAAATTGGAAATCACAACTGCCAACAACATTTTAAACTTTTAACGTTATGACAGTGCAGAAGGGACAATTTGATTGTCGGGATTATAAGCTACTTAAAATATTTTTTGAGGAGCCAGTGTTATACTTGGTCAATATGTACTGGCATTTTTCTTGGATCATCGACACTTGGCCGATTGAGCTTATGATTTGCAGATTAAGGTATAAATAAATAAATAAATTAATTAATTAAGCTCAAACTGTTTATTTAAATATATCGTTTGTGTTTAGCAGAATTTTTATCTCCTAGGACTCCATTACTTGGAAGTTAATTAATTAAGGAAACATCGTATCTCTCTTGGATAATGTAATCACGCACATGCCTTTCAACCAATCAAAAAACAGGATTCAGAAACTCTGACCCTCATTTCTAAATAAACAATATCTTTAGGTTTCCTAAGAGATATTTAAAAAAAAACAATTTCTTGAATATTACATTTTTTTTAACCGCTCGTGATTCATGAAACCCTAGAAAACAAGTCCATGGCGTAGCAGGGTTTAAGGTGCAACTGCAAACAAGAAGTGGGGGGAGAGAGAGAGAGCACGCCTCGCTTGGCGTGTGCTTTATATTACCTATAAAATTAATAACACAATTTTATGTTTTATATGCAAAAAGCATTTTTCTTAATAAGGGCATCTTATCTCAATATAGGATTTTGCATTCCATCAAGAAGAACAAATAGCCTTGTTGAACAAAAACACGTGACATTTACTATTTTTCATGGGTGGACGTGTTATATTTTGACGAAAATACCACTTTAAGGTTGTTATGCCACATGACCAATTTTAACAAATATGTTGATGGACAACGCAAGACGAAGGATGAAACCAAAAGATTAAGGACTATTCGAAACTATCATGTTCAAATACTTCCCAAAAGAAATTTCATTTGAACATATGTCACACATTAATCATCATTGATTTTTTTTCTTATTGCATCACTTAATACTTTCACTAATCGATCGAAAGAAATGGCGGTTTTGGATTATAAAGTTAAATTTACATATATAAAACTTCCGGCCTAATACAATATTAGTACATGGGAGAACCATATATAAACTAAAACAAATCAAGAATTTGCTGCAATCGTAGATGCTCTTCTTTTCTTTTCACTTAACCTCATGGCATCGATAACAGTATTTAAGTAGGTTTAGGGTTACACTTGGAAAAAGGAGAACGCGAAGGGGGAAGACCCATGACAGTTAGATTATTATTTTCTAAAATTTAAAAAATAAGGTGAGTTGCTTAGGCTACAAATAGGGAATGGAAGGCAACAATTCTGTATCCAACGTACTTGTTAGCCCACTCTATCAACCCTGACCTGTGGTAGCCCTTTCCTTCCTTATATACATATAACACCAATCATCTTGCCCTTTCCTTTCTTATATTATGCCCGTACATAACACCGATCATCTTAATCCATCCATATAGGTTGCCCTTTCGGGGAATTGGGCCCAATTGCGTGGTAAAACTAGGTTTTGATACCAATTTGTTAAGCACCCATGGGTATATAGAACTTGCCCCTAAAAACTGGTGTGTGAGGGAAATATACCCAAGAGCTCTTAAACCATTCTCAGATATGCTATTTATGAAATCTTGAGTCCTAACAATCAGCTATACATACATTTTGTTTTTGGCCGATTTCTGATAGTTTGTATGTGAACAAACTGCTGAATTAAATGTTGCATTTAATTAGGTAGGCCTTGCCATTGGAGTGACAACTCAATGTTGTGTAATTATTTTAAAAAATGTTTTTTGACCCATCATCATAGGTAAGATTCATAGAATTAGTTAACTTGGAGGCTTCCAACTAAAAGATGTAGTTATCCCTATTTAATCACACCCAAGGTTTAAAATATCAATGATTTTGAAAATATCGATAGTCCAAAAATACGGAAATTTTAATGGAAATATTGAGATATTATTGATATCGATAAAAATTGAATAAAAATCACAGAAATTGTAAGAAAAACTTGAAAAATTTCTTCAAACTTTGGAGGATGTTTATTAGTCAATTATCTATTACTTTATCACAAAAAATTAGAAGGAAATGCATTGCATGATGCATTTAACTTATTTAAGTTGATTATATAACGAGCTGCCAAACACTGCGAGTGTAGAAAATATGTAGTAATTAACGAAAGAAGATTAAACACACCACGATCATTTATTTATAATGATTTACTACAATAATTTACACTTTATACAGTGCATGGTAAGATACATGAGTGACTTAGTATCACATAGAGTTCCTATAAAGTTCAAATTTAAGTTATTTACACTAACACCTCCTGAGGTTTTCGGCTTTTTCACAAAACTCCTTGAGTTTTTAGAAATTACAATAACAACCCCTGAGGTTTTAAATTATTTGAACAAAACTCCTTTTCATTGATCTTTCATCCAAAAATTGATGATTTTATACAAAAAAAAATATAATTTCTCCAAATGACAAAGTTGGCATTTGAGATTGCATATACTTCATTGAGGTTATTATTATTATTATTATTATTTCATTTGTATAAGTTTTTTTATATAATGAAATCGTCAATTTTTGGACAAACAATCAACGAATAAGGGTTTTGTGAAAACAAACTAAAACCTTGGGGGGTGTTTGTGTAATTTTTAAGACCTAATGGGATTTTGTGAAAACACAAGAAACCTCAAGGGGTGTTGGTGTAAATAACTCTTCAAGTTTTTCATTGTCTTCATCATCTCGATATTATTGATATTATAGCAATATTTTGAATAAATATTGCTGAAGTGTGGGAGATATTATCGACATCAATATTTTTCGATATTATTGATATTTATATAATATGTGTATGGATACGTTCCAAAATACCATTGACCCGAAAAAAAAGATAATATTCTTAATAGTTTATCGATATTATTGATATTTTAGATTATGATTCGCACCCACATCTGGAGGTCCTCTCCAATATGAAAACACTTTCATTTATATAATAAAGAAACCCTAAAAAAGAATTCTCTTCTGCGGCTTTTGTACCTAATTTTGTTAATTTCTTAAACTGTTCAAATTAATTAATGTTGTTTATTACAAAAATAATACCATAACATAAACAAGTGGGGGTCTATTTTATTTCCACTTAAAAGGAAGTGCATAAAATAGTACGATGATTAATCAGTGAGTGAAGGTTAAGGTATTGAATTCTTATATATTGTTTTCCCTTTCACGACGTTACCTTTTGTCCTTTATTTTTTGTTTTTGTTTTGCTTTCCTTTTTTCCTTGTTTTGGTGGATTGGTGAGGTGGATAGGTGACAGTTGCAACGTCCAAAACCAACTGCCTTTTGAATGCTCGACAGTCTCTGTGCCCAATCCTCAGTATACCTATTTAGGAAACCTTTCCAAAACAGCATTTCTAATCAAACTTGAACCTTAAAACTTCCTCGTATTCTTTGCCTTGCACTTCTCAACTTAATTGGAACTTGGTCATTACAAGCACTATCGATCTCTGCCAATGTATTAATAATATAGCCAGCCACTTGCTCACACCCCACATTGATCAGTATCCAACTTGGTTCCCGAGCTACAGAATTTTGAGGCCACAGAAAATGCTCTGGCAAATTAACAGTAAAGTTGTTTAGTCAAGGTCTTTGAAATAGAAAAATTATTGTTTTGCCACCGTAATATATGTGTACAACTACTGATATCTGAATTCTAAACTCTAAAAAGTGTGAACTCTATACTTATTACATAATATTATAATTTTATCTGGATCCTAACTTCACGTGGGACGGTCGACCTACTACGTAGTACTGTACTGTTACACACAATAATTTTTGTTTCAGACGCATTCGAGCAATTATGATTCCCACTTCGTTTGCTTTGTGCAACTCACCCTCATTCTTCACACTACCAATATGGTGGCCCTTACTCTAACGAAGCTTGCTTTATTTTTTGAGGCTATTGGATTACGTATTTTAAGATGCGACCACATGTTTTTTAATTCCTTACGTGTTAGTAAACGTGAGGAAGTCATGAATTGAAACAATTTCTTTCTTCTCATATGCATGCATGATAAGTAAACATGTTAGATTGAAGAACAAAAAGTTACACAAATCAAAAGCCCAATATAAGTAATTATTGGATCAGAACAAATCTCATAGAACAATTTTGTCCTTGCAAGGAGACATCTCATTGTTGTTAAGATTAATCCATAACATTAATAGATCATACTTGTAATTGCAAGTTATAAATTAGGCTGAAAAATGAAAAGAAAGATTAGCAGAAAAAAATTCGTTCTAACTGACCCTCTAAAGGAAGCTTCAACCCAAACCCCTCTACTTGACTCATTCGGGATTTTTTCACATGCTTCACCTGACTACATAAGTGTGTGGCTCCATGGATAACTTTTTTTTTTCACATTGAAAGTAGCTCCATGGAATTTCACAAATCGTACGGAATCACATGCAAATCCTAGCGTTAAAAGTTGCAAAAGCAAGTGCTCGATCCTTGGTAATTGGAACCTGGACGGGTCAAGTTCAAGTGGACTGCTGGAGAAAATGAAGATGGAGAGGAAAAGTAAATAAATATACACAACAAAAAGAACCCTAGTTGAACTCATCTTCAATCATATGCTAGAGCAAAGGAGAGAGCAAAGGTTGAAGATGAAAAGATTTCTTATAATTTTAAGGGTATGCATATGGAAATAATACGTAAAAAAATAATAAATCTCAAACCCTAAAGATAATAATAATAAAATTATAGAAGATGTGTCCTTTGATTTTGAAGAAGTCAAATCCTAGCTAGGTTTGTAACAAATCATTCTCAAAGTATAGACAAAACCTCGTCTGAGGATGGGGAAAGTCTTTACTCTGTTAGATGCACATATATCAACTTCACATGGAATAAATAGTTTTGTAAAAGTGTGCTTGAACAGTACAGACAAAGTGTGAACACTTTTTTTTAATAGGGCAAAGTGCGATCACTTGCGATAAGATTCCTAGGTTCTGTCTTCCCCTACTATTATTCTTGTTTTAAAATGAATTGATAAATGATCTTGACAGCCTTTATGTTCAAATTCACTAGTGAGTATCGCATTAAGTAACTAATTAACTCAAATACGAAGTGCATTTGGAGCTTCAATCGTACATAAGTTATGGTTCCTCACGAGTAAGTGGGAGCCAACTGCCAGTCGTTGATACATGTAAATCTCATTGTGTAAAATGTTCGGTGACAATGATTCGAGCCACGCATGCGCGCGTATACATACTGTTGTTGATATTTTTAAACTTATATCGTTATCTCTTTAGATTTTTAATTTAATCTCATTAATCTAGAAACAGCCTGTATCTTCATACTTAATGAGCTTCTAAATAAGTTGTTGAATTAACTCGAATCAATAGATACACGACTCTTTCTTGAATCGTTGATAAGCTAGACAAATCAAAGTTAATTGAACACATAATATCTAACACATCGACGTCGGCAACCACAACATACGACTTAGTTATAATCAAACAAACTGAATCACATGCTGATGTAACTTTCATCACTTAAAAATAGTTAAAGAAAATCTATTTCATGTTCCAAATTAGTTAACTTGCACTAGCTTTTGCTTTATTCAAGAGAAAAGAAAGAACGTTCTTTTCATTTAGCTACTTTAAACTGTCGGTCACGTCCCAGATAATTATCAACCGTTTACTTATTTTAACATAACATACATCAACGATTGATAATCATTACAAAGTCACGATGTATGAACATCAGTCATTATGCCAATGAATAGATATAAAACATCCCGTCACAACCCTATAAAATTACACACAATCCAATTTTTTATGAGAAATAGGGTACAAGAACAGCTGGGTGTAGACTATAGTAACAGGCAAACCAATCAGAATTAAGAAACCCAAACCCCTCCCAAAAAGGAAGAGACCGCCCTCGGTTTCCAATACCAAAACGTGTCACTCATCTATACGTCACCTCCTCCCATCATTTGTGCGCTCTTACAAACCACGAATCCCGGGCCTACTCTGAGACTCCAAGGATGCCAGCTTCCCCACGCTCTCACGTCCTCTTGCGTGCACCCGCTCTCTCGTGCTTACACGTGCCCTTCCAGTCCCTCTCTCGTAACCTTAACTATTCCCCCGATCCTCTCACGCTGGTCAACAGGCCTGAGTTTGATTCACCCGACAAAGTGTAGGCCTCAAAAGGCGAGTAGCATGGTTTTAACGTACTCTAGCGAGTGGGCTATGTGGTCCTGGGCCTTAAACCACCGAGTGGTTTTGGGGTGCAGTGCCTGGTCCATGGTTTCCTCATAGAGAATTGGTGACTTTCCATATAAAGCATTGTAGGCACATCTGAGGAATTAAGGAGAGAGAGAGGGGAGGCTCTACTGGTTTTAGCTCATTTGCAAGTAAGCTCTACTCATACAAACCTTGCTATTTGGAGGAAAAAAGAAAATAAAAAAGGAAAAGTTCTTTTTTGGGAAAATTATGATCTTTGTTCTTTTGGGTTTTCATGCTTCTTCTTGATCTCTTTTTTGGTTCAAGTTTTTGTTTTGCTATTTCTGGCTTGTTTTGGTGAGGTAATTCGGTTATACCCATTTAGGGAAAAATTGGAAAGTTTTGTTAAAGTTTTGTGAGTAATTTAAAGTCTATATCTCTCTACCGATCTAGGGGAGAAATTGAAGAGGGGAGATTGTTTGAAGAAGAGGTGATGGGGAGAGGCAAGATTGTGATTCGGAGGATTGACAACTCCACCAGTAGGCAAGTGACGTTTTCGAAGCGAAGGAATGGGTTGCTTAAGAAGGCTAAGGAGCTATCAATCCTTTGTGATGCTGAGGTTGGACTGATCATCTTCTCCAGCACCGGCAGGCTTTACGATTATGCTAGCACTAGGTTAGATCTCTCTCTCTCTCTCTCTCTCTCAAAAATAATATTGCATATTTATTTTTGATTGGATTGACTTGTCATTGAACTGCAGCTAATGCTTATTCCTTGTGGGTTTAATTTGTCTATCTCATCATCCCAATTTTTCTAGCTACTAATGCAAGTTTAGTAGGTGAATTTATGGTTTAGTTAGCTTTTGAATTTATGCTTTATTTCTAGCATGGGATCTGAGGCCAGTAGTGGACTTGTTATGGGATTATTTTTGACAACATACATCAATCTTGCTTCCTTTTAATTTCTTTTTGAGGGAATTTATTGTTGGCATGATAAATTTTTCGGTTCTAGTCTCAGTAAACCCGAAGGTGTTGGATAAATGGAATATTTTATGCAGGTTTACATATGCATGAGGTTGTTTATTCTTGTCTATAGGCGTACGCACTTAGAAAGTAAGTTATATCTGCGAGGAGGAATTACAGATAGAAATATTTATGAATGATTCTCACAGTGTGCTCTATATATAAGCTTCAATTGTGTGAATCTTCCTGCCCTTTTTGATAGGCAGAAGCTGATGTTTTGAACTGATAATAGAGAAATGATGGATTTTATGTTATAAACAAAAATAAATTAAATGTAGTTAATTAGTATTGTCCAACGAAGTGGGGGTCCTTAGGTGTATATATGCATATCCCTCTTTTAACTACGAGTCCTTTCCTCACCATCAATTTTGGATCGTATTCTTCTCTTTACATTTTATATTGAGAGAGAGAGAGAGAGAGAGAGAGAGAGAGAGGAGAGAGAGAGAGAGTTGCTTTTTCATGTGTTGAATTACTAGGGAAAAAAAGTGTCCATGCAAGCCCATGCATGCATATTTTGACGTCCATATAATGACTGTGTTGGATGTCCTTGCTGTCTTTCTTTAGCCTTAACAGATTATATTCAACTAAAATGAAGTTTTCTTGATCATCAAAAGTTAATAAATTTATAAGTTAGGACTTTGTAGTTTGTTGAGTCGAGTTCTCACGAAACAGAAGGATGAAGATCGTACAGATTCAAGATTGCTTAGGGCCTAAATTAAGAAAGAGGGTGAGTAGACTCAAGCTTTAGGAAGAAGTCATAATTCAACAATATATTTTCTTGGTACAAACTTTGGACTTAATCTTAGGGTAAATACTTTCTACCGAAGCTACAAGCAGGGACGGATCCAGAAATCTTCTCTCCGGAGGTCAACATATATAAACTCACAATTTTTTACATATAGAAGACCCGTAGAAATGAATGAAAATGCAGTAAAAGTACATACATGTAGTTTTAGTGTGTTTATATATATGCATGTTTATTAGATTTTTTTTAGAGAACATGTTAATTTATTAGAATTGTTTTTATGAGCAACATGTTTATTAGATTGTTATATGCATATTTCGGAAATTAGAAAACTTAAAAAGAAAATTATTTTTATTTGTGTGCAGTTAAATACTACTCTAGTTTGGTTTCAATGATAGGGAGATATACTCGAACATTAAAAAAAAAGACAGGAAGAAACTCCAACCAAAAAATAATACGGAGATATACTCCAAATAACCAAAATTAAGAAGTTAATGTGATTACTGAAAATTTAGATGTTATTTAAATTAAATAAAGAAAATTTTAATTAGGTGGGGTTGTTATTATCGGGCTAGGGAAGAGCTCTGTTTTGGGTTTTTGTTTTCTCAGACCTGTCCAAAAGGCCATGATAATAAAATAAAACAAAATAAAGTTAAGTGACCTGGTCTTAGACGGTGTCGTTTAGGCCAGGTCAAAAAATAAAAACAAATAAGATGACGCAAGGCAGCATGCGAGAGCAAGGCAGGTGCTGCCATGCCTTTTTCATTTAGACATTTCATCGAGTAGTTGCTGGGCACTCTTGCCCAGCCATCAAACACGACCAGGGGTCAATTCTTTTGCTTTTCATGGCTTTTTCTGGGTTTCCAGGGGTCAAATGACCACCTTTGCTACGTGGGTCCGTCCCTGGCTACAAGTTGTCATGTGAAGAAATGAACTTGAATAAAAGTTTGAGGATTGGGATGGCAAAGGCCAATGGGGCATGGTCATTAGTGCTAATTATCCCGCTAATGAATCATAACTATGTTGATAAAAATTTCCCCAAGATCTTTTGTTTAGACGAACATATATCTTGTGATTTGATGGAGACAATCACACATGAACAAAAGAGAAAAACAAAAAAAGATGCAAAAGATTAATTGAAGAACCACCAATCATCGATAAAACCACTATATAAGTGACCTCATTTTGACAACCTGGTCGACAACAACCATGTGGGGAGATCATTCACACAGTTCAAAATATTCGTAATCTCCAAGTTTAGAATCCTGAATTCTATTCTCTCACCAAAGATGATTGCTTAATGTTCAATGAGACTCTATTGTTCTAGCCGTTTGAATGCGTAATTCTCAATAGAATCTTAAGAAATTCAATGCCTCAATCAAGTGTAGAAACTATCATTGGATGTTAAAAATGCCTATATACTGTCTTCTTTCACTCATCATGATGACCTATTTTTAACCCCCACTAAAATGTGGATGCTACCACAATGCCTGCCTGGGAAAGTATGAACACTTCTCCCGATTACTAAAAACCACATGATTAGCACTTTGTAGTGCTTTTCCAAGAAAAAAGTTATTAGTTTTTTTTTTTTTTTTTTTTTTTTTTTTTTATTTTAGAAGTATTCTTTTTAGCGCTTCTCCAAAAAGCACTAAAGAGTGCTTTTATAATCTAGAAGTACTTTTAGGTTGCCTACATAGTCAGAAGTGCTTTTGATTATGTGAAAGTCCTTCTATCCCTTCCAAAAGCATTGTCAAATATGCATGCCCTTATAAGTGCTAGAAGAGAATTCATTTATTATCCTCATGACTCCATTTGGCTTCACATCAACCTAATTATCATGACTGCCTGTAGAGATCAGATTTTGCTATCTTCATCTATTTTCTTCTTATTTAGACTTGTCCCATTCAAAGAGTTGTATAACCAAGTACATGACACACAAATGACTAATTTTTGGGTGTTCTCTAGTTACACCACGTGGCTGGTGTACCATCCAATAGACGTAGGATATGTGGAATATTTCCAATGCAACTAGCCACAAGTCATAAAAAGTAATGTAGTAAGTTGGAGAATAATTCCACATGTCCTATATATATGTATTGGATGGTATACGAGGCAGGTGGTGTATGCGGAACATATAAACATTTCTCCACTATGATACAACGTTACTAAAGGTAAGGCAATCAAGCGATGACCTTAGAACATGAAAGATTGGAATCCACCAGAAAGTTGAGAGAAACCTCAAAGCTTATTGATATTGATATAATATGAATAACAACCATAATCACATAGCTAAAGTTGGTTTAATACTACTTCAAACCCTAGATTACTAGGAAGCCTAATTGGGAACAAAATTCCAAAATTACCCTTAACACTTCAAATGTTTTTAAACTAGTCTTGCTGTTCTCTTCGAAACGACAGGTTATGAGCTCAAATCGGAGATTGGAGCCTAAACCTTGGTCATATTTTTGTTTTTTCTAGGCTTATATCTGTCAAGCTGCTACTCAATCGTCTATGTCATCTGTTCCAGATACTGATGTATCAATTCGCAGCATATAGGTCGTTGCAGATAGTATACAAGCCATTGTCTTGTGTGACTGATCAAGGGAAATTTTTGAAGACGCTCTCAACTAGTAAGAAAGAGCATGGTGTCCGCATGTGCTATTGGAAAATTTGGATTTGTCGCTAGATACATTGTTGGAAGTTTGAAAGCAAATGGCTTTTCTTCTCACATCGATAAAACCTTTCCTCTAGGCTTAATAAGCAAAACTGTTTTATCATACGTTAAAGTAGAGGGACTGAGTCCCACATCACTTATGTCTTGCGGAGATCTCAAGTAATAATTCAGTATGACCTCAGAACCCTAAATGTTAACTAGGGCTAGCACTTATTTATTTATTTATTATTTTTTTATGAAGCTAGGGCTAGGGCTAGCACTTTAGAGCATGTAAAAACTTGGATTTATGCGTTTTCCCACCTTTGTGTGATGTGGAGTGCCTGGCTTTGTGTTCCGGATTAAAAAAAAGTCTCCCAATTGGTATATATATGATAAGTGTGAATCCCCTTAGTGAAGTTATTAAGGGCATGAAGAAAGGGAGATTATGATTCTCCTAAATCCCACTTGGGCTATGCATTGGAGAGACCTAGGTTACTTAGAAAGGCCTAAGAGTTCAAATGCCAACCCGAGCTGATACTTTTGGAAAGAGACCTAGGGTTGTTACATAATGTTTCCATATATAGCTAGTTTGTTGGTCGTCTCCTCCCTCAAGGGTTAGAGTCTTAATTCTGCAGAAACTAGAGTAATGTTGAACGGGAAGTGGATTTTTTAGGAGTCAAAAGTATTGTAGGCTTTGGTTATTGGAAATGAGTAGAAGGAAGGTTGCATACATTCATAAATCCAACTGCATACTTTGGGGAAAAGCTCATTTTCTTTTTCACAAAAAAAAATATAAAAAAAATACTATGCAACTTCATCTTAAGAATTATACATCTATTTTGGTACCTACGTCGTATTTCTTTCCAGGTTTCCTGTCATTACATAGGCCGACAGAAACGTTATCCTTGGGCTAGGTGTTGAGTTTGTCATGCTATGAGAGTATTGTGTCTTCGCCGTCGGACGGTTGGACATCGCCACCAACCTTGATGGATGCAGCCCGTGTGAGCCGACTGACCAAGCTCTTGATCTTTAATTATATATAGACCTCTGATACTTTCTTGTGAATGTCGGTCTGATCAAATGGAATTTGAAGAAGCCATTATGTGTTGAGAGTATTTGTCTCATCTTGAAAAGCTAAGTAACTTAATAATATGAGCTTATAAGGAGTTGGACGATTCTTACATTGCCAGTTGGTTTTCCTCAACTTTCTTCATGGTATCAAAGGCTAGCTAAGGAACCATGGAAGACGTGTTGAGGCTTAAGCATTTGCTAAGAAACTACGGACGAGAGTTAGTAGGGTATTGAAACTAGAGGATAAATACCAATACATGTCATTGTGTTCGT